GTGGAGACCTGAGTAGGGGACAGAGGGGGCCTGTGGAGGGGACGGTGGCCAGAGGGAGGGCATCTCCACCTGCGGGGTCCACAGGTGTGGAGGCGGAGGTGCTGCTGGGCAGGAGGGAGGAAGGGTGAGATACTCGAAGTGAGGCCAGTCAGGCGAGGGGACACTGGCCATGCACGAGCCCTGAGGCCACAGAGGGCCTCTGGCTCCATGTGAAGTGCTCAAGGCCAGGGACGGCATGATGGGGAGACCGGGAGGGCTGCCAGGAGGAAGTGGCACTCTCTGCCTTCTAATCACCTCATCCCCTTGGGAGGCAGCTCTGTGGCGGGCAGCGGGGGGAGCACTCAGGCCTCTCTGCCCAGAGGTGGCAGGAACTGAGAGGACAGCACTCACCTCTTCTGGGAAAGACACCTGCCGGCTTCCCAGAGAAATTCACTGAGATGGAGGAGCTTCTCCGGCCACAGAGCAAGAGCAGGGTGCCCAGGGCGGAGGAGCACGGGCCTGCTCAGCACAGAGCCTGCCCAGTTACCTGCGAGCCCTCCACCTTGGGCAAACTACTACCCTTCCTGTGCCTCAGTTTCCTCATCAGTGAGATGGGTTTGGTGCCCACCCTTATTAAGGATGCCACTAAAATGCTAGTAGCTTGAAGAAGACAGAATCTCCCCCTTAAAAGGGGCCTGAAGGTCAGCCCTTCAAGGTCGGGATGGAGCTGCCCTGTGTCCTTAAGGACTTCGGTTCTTCTTCTCTTTCGCTGTGCTACCTTAGTTCATGGTTTCGTCCTCACTCTGTACTCAAGGTCCAGGAAGGCTGCCGCAGCACTTGCCTTCACAGCCAAGTTGGGCTGTATGTTGCCTTGGTAGCCATCCCAAAGGTCAGACCAAAAGGCCCATTTGGCTCTCATTAGCAAAAATGCAGTCACAGGGTCACTCCTAGCTGTAAGCAGGACCGAGAACTCCAGGCATTTATCCCAGAGGCAGTGGACACAGCCAGGTCAGGGTCCTGTGACCATCAGAATTCTATGGATTCTGGACCTTGACGATTAGCTGTCCACCCTAGTCTTCTGTGCAGTGTAACAATGACTGCA